TAGAAATAGACAGCAAATAATTCTTTTTCAACGGTACAAATATCATAAGGGCTAAAATTACATCTCGAAGTTATTCCAAGGTCAATTATTGCTCTCTCATGGAATGTTGTGAAGCACCGGGTATTAAAGAATGTTTAATGTCAAAGTCTCAGGACATCTAACGGCATATCTACTGGTAACCATCTTTCTGACCTTGGCTATATTATTGAAGATCAATTCAAGGTCAATTTGATTATTTTACATAGAAACCCTCAATTTTTATTCTTACCCTGAAAATCAGACGTAGAGGTTATTTCAAGGACAAGTAACCTATTTTTGTGGATTAAACTGAAGCAACCGATAATCTTGGATTGACCTTCAAGGTCATAGGTAACGTGAGGATGAAGGTCGCCATCGATGTGCCGTTAGGTGACCTGCAATTTTCTCATTAAAAGAGCAACAATAGACCTTGCAATGACCTCTGGCTTTAACTTTAGCCGTTATGATATTGATACCGTTAAAAATGGAATTTATTTGGCTTTCTATTTCTGAAAAATAGAGGTTCCAATTTGAAAAATCAACTTGCCCTTGAAATGATATTCAAGATGAACGTCAACGTGGAATCCATTAGATGCGCCATTTGATTATTTCCTGAAACTTCTGTATTCACCGTTTTCTTCTAACACAACTAGTTCCCGAGATACGGGCGTTGTCTCAACAACAAGATCCAGGTATTTTTTCAGGCACAAGGAATGAACTATTTGAAAAACGAATTTACCATTGGAAACGTTGATCTTTAAGCTATTATTCTACGTAGTCGCTATTTTTTCAGACGTGGAATGAAAAGGTTCTCCCGCTTTGGACTTTCATATACAATTAGCATCATCACAGCCATTTAGTCAAATTTTAGTACTACTATTTCTCGCTTATTCGATAGTATGGTTCAGTACTGGTATAGCAAATCTTTATATATATCTTCTATGAGCGGTATTAAAAAAGAATTCTACCTAGCTAGGAAAAAAAAGAGGTACGAATTTTATTTTTCAGTATAATCCCACTTGCACCATCTTTCCTCCAGTGATATCCCTATAAAAATGTATCATCTTGACTCTCAAAAAGGTGTCGGTGGCTGCTTTTGGGCCATTATCTAAATCAAAACGGCATTCTCGATGATTTTTCTCTAGATAGTAAGACGTAAAAGTCAATTGCGTCTGATGATCTACTGTATGAAATATTCAGGTTGATACTTCGGTAAAGCTTCTTTTTGGTTTCTCCTACCTAATTTCCTAATGAAAAATGTATATAAAACGTTCCACCGTTCTATACAACCTTGTTTCTTCATGGTAATTATCTGTAAAAACGGAGGTCATAATTTTTAAGAGCGGTGCGTGTCGTAGATAATAATCTGTACGTCTGCTGGAACTAAACGAATTAGAACGGCCACTTTCCGCTTCCGGAATTCACGAGTAGGTCGATTATATCTCATTTCCGGGAACCGTTCTGAAAGAATGCGCGCGGAAAACATGCTATTGTGCGTCAAACAATACTCATCGTATGGGGGATGAACTGATCGAATTTTTGGTTCTTTATCGTCGTTACATTGTGTTGATGATACTGGAATGATGTACAAGCGCTAATATGAAAAACAGAACAAAGGAGCAGGAAAATTGGATTTCTCGGGCTTCTCGATATAACCGAAAATTTGACAGCAGCGGTGTTGACAGCAACAGACAAACGCGAAATCTGTAGATACCGTCGTTTAAAATCGGTAGTTGTAAAGGGAAAAAACAGGGCCGGTGCAAGATCAACAACATATCAAAGTCCTTTGGATCACGTAGCATCGTCTTAAAATACGACGTCAAGTAGGTTCACTCTACACTCCCTACGCAGTACATGATGCCGCTTAGAAAGTATCGAAATCTAAAGTTCTTCCGGAACGAAGCGAAAAACCTAATTCTCTCAATAACGTTTTAAGGTATTGGATTTTTACCCAGATGAGTCAAGTTTATGATTCTGATTCCAAAAATGTATAATATGGAAAAACTTACTTATTTAGCCTCTTTCCGAAAGCATTTTGACTTTCTAAGCCGTACTTTTTTAGCTATCTAAATACGCAACACTGTATACATTACGCATTTTTTTTTGCACAAAGTAATCAAACATAAGTATAAGTCAACGCCAAACAAAGTGGCGTGCACGTCATCAAGGTGGGTGTGTTGAAAAATTTACATTGTTGCCAAACTTTTTGTAAAATAATAAAATTTATTATTTACATATCTAGGTTTATAAGCAATATTAACCTCAAAGAACAAAAATAATAGTATAATAAAATTATAGATCTGTACTTGCATAATCATTAAGTATGACAATTATTGATCAGATGACACTATGAAACTACCATATTTAATTGATAGCTTAAAGGTACTGAATAAAAATCCAAATGGGGTCCTCCAAATTTTATGCATGGTATTTATTTTACAGAATTCATACAGAAAAATGCATTCTAAAATTAGGTAAGCTACTGGTGTAAGCTTTTTCTGTACAATAAAGTTAGTCGGAGTTTCTTTCTTCAGCGCTGTCTGAATCTGAATCTTCATCACTCTCAAAGTTGATTATTAAAGGTTCGATGTCTGGAAGATCAAAAATTCGTTCTCTTTCATACCATTTAAAAATTTCTTGCTCAGTATGTCGAACACTATTTTTCCACATGTCTGGGGTAACCGTTTGTAGAGCCTCGTTCCACATATCCAAACAGTCTTTTTCACTGTTACCATCTCTACCAATATGTCTGTTATAGTAACCTTTTGCTATGCCCCAAATTAACTCAATAGGGTTAAATATACAATGGTAAGGAGGCAGACGAAGAACTTTGTGCCCATGTTGTTCCGCCAATTCATCAATCACGTATATTTTAGGTGGTTTGTTTCTAAAAAAGCAGTTATTTTAAGAATAGGAATAAACAAAAGAAATATAAACTGTCGACCAAAATATATATAATTAAGAAGCATTATGTACCGAGCAACAATACTCAATAGCTCTGTTTTAAACATTGTGTTTAAAAATGGTATGTTTTGATTTGTCAACCAGTCTTGGATATTTTTTTTTGTCCATGCATTGTTGGGCACTTTGTTCAATATCATGCTGTGATAAGGGGCGTTATCCAGTATAATCATAGATGGACTCTGCAATTTTTCTAATAACTGATGTTGAATCCATTTCAAAAAATTGTCCTGGTTCATCTCTCCATGGTAATCGCTCAATTTTGTTTTCGAAGAAAATATCGCTTCACTACCCTCAATAAACCCATTTTCATTTCCAGCATGTAATATAATGTATCTAAAATATATTAGTTTTAAATTTTATAGTGCAAATTGTGTAAAAGTACATACCTTTTACCATCTGTTTTAATAGCTTTCACGCTTTTTTGGTTTCCATTTTGCCAAGAGCGACCTATGGTCCCATTTTGAAATATCCAAGTTTCATCGAGGAAGACAAACTGGTATAAGGCCTCAACCTTGGCTTGATTGTATTGCCTTAGAAATTCCACCCTTTTCAAAGCTATACTTGGTAGTTCCATGAGCCCTCGTCGCGGATTGTCCTTAAGCCACTTAAATCCAAGATACCTAAGCAACCGCCTTAAAGACGTGGCACTACCATCAAATAATGCCCTATCTCTTAATCGAGACCATAAAGTTTGTATCGTAACTTGTTCTTCTGAAACCATGTGTAATATGACATTATAATTTAGTTAACAAATTAATGCAAATTTTTGATAAGTTATTATAATAAGATCTTACTTTTGTGATACATATTATAGATCACTTCTCGAATGGCACTTGTATCCAATGTCGCTGTGTTGGTTACACGTTTAATATAACTCCGCTTTTTCTTGGGCGATTCTAAATTTGCATCACTTTTCACACCCTCGGAAATACGACTAACTGTCCTTAAACTAATTTTTAAAGCAGCAGCAACACGCTACAAAAAATGAAATAAAATTTCACTATTATTAATATACATTACATATAATTATTAGTAACCTACCTCTTGAACAGCATTTAAAGGCAACAAAGGCCCGTTGTTGTCCCTTTCTTGCTCAAAGTAGTGCATTAACGAGGCCACGAGTTCCTTACACCGACTATTTAACTGTTTGGGCATCTTTATATACCAAAATTGCCTTTATCTACTCGTAAAATGAATAATTTTGTTTTGAAACAAACAGTTGTTGATTTACAGTATGCGGGGCCAAAGGATTTATATAGATTTGAAATGCCACAAATTGATTCAGTGTCAAAATTAATACAAATGTCAGTTCCCAGTTTAAATAAGTTTCAAGGTGACAATGTGTCAACGCTGCGAAATCGGTTTAGTGCGTTTACATGTCGATAAGTGATTGGAGCGTTTGCAAAACATTTTATTTCGCATAATGCGTCTAAATTTATCAGAAAGCAACTTATGTGATATTTTAATAACAATGTTTATATGACTATTAACCATAATAAGAGAGTAATGACCATTTTACAATTTATATATCACATTAATATGAAACTGCAATAGAGCAATTGTTTGTGATAGAAACCTAGGCATTAGGTCGGGGAATTTTTATCGTGATGACGTGCACGCCACTTTGTTTGGCGTTGACTATATACGGACTATTAAAAGGCTGATCCATCTGATCAAACCAAAGACTCGTATTGAAAACCATACAATAACACAAAAAGCTTGCCAAATTTGAATTAGCGATAAAAGTAGTAAAATTCGTGTAATAACATTTTGATTTGTTTTCGATTTTTAACCTTACAATGAAACGAAGACAATTGAAGTATAACCATAAACGCCTATCACTGGTATTTATCAAGATTCCTGAATATGCTAGAATTTTTAACAGTAATATGCTTTCTTAAAGTTCCTCGACGCATAGTTGACATCTTCGTAACCTGTAGTTGCTCCACTCTAAAAAAATTTAATTGTGTTTTTTTTTAAAGTGCTATCAATAATCTAGCAGGTTGTGTTAGTTACAGGGTGGTGGCGGTGGTAGCAGGCAACTCGGACGCCGTGACCTTGAGCGGCTTGAAAGCGGACACGCAGTACCAACTGACAGTGGCCGCTGTCTGGGCGGGGAAAAAGTACCGCAGCAGACCAATCGTCTTCCGAACACTTGGTAAGCACCTATTTAAAATAGAAACCACTTTTTCATGTAGCGCTGTGGCATTAGAAAGACGCGGATCTGGTCAGAACCATTAGCGCACTATTTGGGCTTATAAAAACAAAGCCTCATATTTCATCAATAAGCTTGACCGTACACAGTAGAGCTCTGGTGTAAAACGTCAACTGATTATAACAGTTGCTGAGGAAAAATTTCTCCTAGTTGTTAAATTTAAACTCTAGTAAGAGAGGTTACCCAAGTTCCTGAAATAACGTGATCAGCAGAATTACCTGTCAATACCCGTACGCACACCACTGTTAAAGCTAAAAATTATTTTTGCATCGAAAAATATGCAACTTCGTTAACTTTCACTACGTTCTAAATATCAGTGAAACATCTGAAGCGGTTCTGGAAATATTAATTAATTTCCATTTTTTTCCTAAAGCTTCAACACTCCGAGTTTTTGTAAGGAAACATTTTTGGACGACAGTTTATAAAGCAAACTAACATTAATTTTTCATGTAGATTCAATATTCGCATATCATTAAGGGCCAACCTGTATATCAGCATCGCTTGATCCCTAATTCTTACTCACAGTTTTCAAGCACGAAAAATATCCGTGCGGCATACAACGTACAAAGTACCTCGTAATAAAATTCCGTCCGCAATTTCCGAGCTCGAAAATGTTCCCAAGTTAATTTCTTATTTAGAGACGGTGGAAAAGCGGCGAATATTTTCATTCTGAATAGAAGACGGTCGCGTTACGACCACCGTTTGCCTAGCAAAAATACGAAAATAAAACTTCGGTCATAAACCGGATAAGCCTTAAATTGGCCTCATATTCCTCCAGTAAGACGGCTGTAAAACTCTTTCCTACTATACGTCAATGTCTGTTTTTGGATGAGGAGTACGCTTCATATTTCTGGTAAAAATATCAAATACCATAAATACTCGCAGAACTTTTGTGAAGCTGTTTCTGAAATGGTTTTGTCAGTTCTTTCGTAAGCCTTAATTGTCTTTAAAAAGCCTAAATTTTGGTTAAATGCTGTTAAAGCTAAAATGCATGAACGGAGTTGCCTTATCCTTATTAGAAAGATTCAGCTGGGAGCTTAGTAACACTTGATCAGAGACTATTAGTTTTGAGTCAAAGTAAGTACTCAAGCATTTTGTGCAACTGAAAGCTTTAGTACTAGGAAGTATAGCAAGTAGATGGATAGTTGTTTTTGCATGGCATAGTCTGCAATAACCGTTTTGCCTTGAATTTATTCAGTATTGCAAATTCATATCTTACCTTCCGTCTATACACATATTTGCAAGATTCTATTCACAGTTGGACATCACCAAAGCAGCTTTGTTATTCCATCTCAAGACACGTTATACCTCAAGGTATTTCAGTAGAGATTTCATCAACTCACACTATACATAAAACGCTCAACATAAGCCGATTTTCTTGTACCTACGTGCAATGTACGTACGTAAATAGAAGAGCTAAATCCCCTCTGAAATTTCCCTCCCGAGCAGCGAGCCTCGCGACGTGCATTCTTTAGATGCGCTTCACAAATTCCAACCTCCTATATTAACTTCGCTATCTCCTCCTATTTGCAGGGAAGCTTCTAAAAGAAAGCATCCATTTTCCAGGGATTTGCACGAGTAAGCAGCTCTTGGAAATGTACTTCGGATCCGGTGGGCGGTATCGTGGCCATGTTTTTTGAATGAATGCTCTTTTCCATTTGAAATTGTCGGTTGCATAAATGTACAGGAAGTTTTTTAAGCGACATCCGCTAAGTTTAAATATTTATGGCACCAAATCTGTCGTCATAAAAAGGACTCCGCACAAAGCGTATAGAAAATGGGCTACTGCCGAATTGACCGAAAACTCAATATGTTATATCTCTTGCCTTCCTGAATAAATGTTATCAAGGGCTCAAAGCAGTCCTATGATTAGTTTCTGAGAAATATGGGGATGAAGTTTGCTGATTTGCAAAAATGGTGAATGTGTACACAAACTAGATTTTTAATTCTTCTAGAAAACGGCTCAAATACGAATCTAGGAGACGTTTATGGCATAGCTGGTGCTATTATTAATAAATACCGTCCTCCAATTATTATTGGTGTGAGGTGATGATGCTGCACCAGCGAGTGTCAAACATCGGTTTAGCACTAGACGAAGAATCAACAAGGTTATGAAAATAATTAATGGGCATTATTGTAGATGCACCCAAACACTGGGCACATGAGGTTCTTTTAATTTTACTATTTTTACCAGAAAAACTACTGCTCTTGCTCAGTCAACTTTATTCGCGCTCAACAACGATAACTGAACTCATATGTCGATCTTTCAAACTTTCTAAAGCCCCCAATACTCAAAGTTACATCCAGTCAATACGACTAAACATCGCGCATTGTAAACAGTCACATAGAAGACATTACAACAGATGTCGCTACCAATATTTCTTATTTTATAATTTATTCTTAACATTGTCAGCAGAAGTAGAAGAGAGAAACCTATAAAATTAAAAAAAAATAATGTATTTAAATGGAAATGTGTAGTTCACTTACATTTTCATTTCAGTATTGTTTTAATTTCTTCATGAGCCGCAATGTGCGATCTTTTTTATAAAAGTTAGCTAATTTCTGAGCCGTTATAACTAACAGCATTTGTCATCTTTTTCATAACTTCCAGGCAACCTTCTGCTTACTGTGTTCCGTCTCCTTTCTGAACGAATTTTCCTCCTGTATCTGGTATTCGCTTTTTAATTCTAAGCTCAGCCCTTTTGCCATTAAATCCAGCAATCAGCGATACGGCAAAACAACGACTAGTCTGCCCTGAAAACAAACGAAACGCGGAAAAACAGGCTGCCTGGATCCGCAAATCGCTGTAGGGCACGACACGTCCATTTCTGGTAATCCCGCATCTGACAGCAAGCTTTGTCTGGTATTACAGGCAGGAGAGGGGGGGGATTACCTGACCTGCCAGAGGCCTCCATGCTTGTGCCGGGTTGATCGGCGAATAAGGTGAAAAAAACAGTATAATGGCTGACCAGGTATACAGGTTTTGAAATAAAGTCTCGTTTCCAGAATGTATAGTGGTTAGAGAGCCAGAAATGCTGGTCGAAACTGCAGATTTCGGCCGAATACTGAAATCCGGTATACGAATACGAATCCTGAATACTGTATCTCGAATACTCAAGATTCGAATACAAAGAAAAAAGTATCGAATACCGCTGTTTCAAATACCTGAATTCATTTAAATATGATTACATTTTGAATATTCCAACGACAAAAAATATATGCGTAGTATAAACTGGGTTTTTATGATATAAAAAAAATAAACAAAATTAAAAAAATATCTATATAAAGTAGATAAAGTTAAAAAACAAAATAACATTTTGATACACAATTTCACAGTGACGTTAGCCAAATTAATTGTATAATAATAAAACATTCTTTGATTTGTATTAGATTTTTATAGACAATAGAATAAAACTTAATAAGTAAATATATGAATATTACTCGATGTACTCACATGAAAAATTATCTAACCTTTTTGTATATATAATTTATCTGGTATCACACACAAATTATAACAGGTATTAATATTTATTATAAAATAAAAAGGCAACGCTGCACAACTAAAAGTGCCGCATCTTGAACTCAAAAGCACCATCATTCACACAAACAAAATAACTTTGCGTAGCTATTCTGTTTAAGTTGCGTGAAACGTAACGCACTATTCATAAGAATGGTCGAACAGTACTTGAAAATACAGGATTCGAATACCGGGATTTGAATACAAAGTGGGTATTCGAATATTGGGATTCAGAATCTAGAATATCTAGTACCGACCAAAAAAGCATTCACTCGAATACCAAATACCAAACACACAAATGTATTCGAATAGTATTCGAATACCAGCCAAATGTATTCTGAATAGCGAGAGAAAATAGTGAACCCTGAATCTTAAATACGTACTTGTTTTATTAGACATTTAATAATTGTAAAAATAACATCATCATCACCAACAACATCAATAGTTCATTTAAAATAATTATTAACAATATTAAAAGTAAAAGATCAGTTATTCGGATTATTAAAAGTTACGCGTGCGGAAAAGCTATGCACGCAGATGTGAGTTGAAAGTGAGTACTTTCCGCACTCTGGTAGAAAAATATACAATGAGTAGCGACAACAAAGGTAATGTGTAGTGAAACAAGGGCGACCAAGTAAAAAAAATAAAGGAAAAAGTACTCACTCTCCAGTTGACGAGAAGGGCTAAGTACGTCTCTGCTCGAAATCATACTGCTCCAACAGAAAATGAAATCAGCTGATGCGCTACCGAGCAGACGCCGGCGGTGGTGCAGACCACGAACAGAGGTAACAAATAAGACGGCGTTGCCGCGTTTTCAGTTTTTAGGTAAACGTACTTTATAGGTATTGTTCGAAGTTATCGCCGTTTGATTCAAAAACACAGGTGCGTGCACGACGTAGCCAAGCATCGGGGCAGGCTTTAAAAATGGAGTCCCTCCCCCGAATGAAAGCACCAGCTTGTTCAATTCTGAGACGAAGTTCGTCAACCGTATGCACTTCAGTTTTGTACACTAAGCGTTTCATTTCTCCCCAAAGAAAAAAATCACATGGTGTTAAGTCTGGAGATAGCGGAGACCACGCTACCGGTCCATTACGTCCGATCCACCTATTCGGAAATAATTCATTCAAAAACTCACGCACTTCGCGTCTAAAATGGGGCGGTGCACCATCGTGCAGAAACCACATTGATTGTCTTACACTTAATGGCACATCTTCTAACAAGGAAGGCAAAATGTTGCGTAAAAAGTGTAGGTATTGCATCCCGTCCAATCGATTTGGGAAAATAAATGGTCCAATGAGCATACCGTTCACCATGCCAGCCCAAACATTCACCGAAAATGTTTGTTGAAAATGAGCCCGACGGACAGCGTGCGGATTTTCTACTGACCAGACATGAGTGTTGCGAAAGTTATTCACCCCATTACGCGTGAACGTAGATTCGTCTGTCACCAATATGCACTTCAAAAAGTCCGGATTATTGTCATGTTGATGCAACACCCACTCACAAAAC